ACTATGTAGCTTTCTTGGTAGAGGGACTTTCATTTACTATATATCGGCCTAGTACTGAACCCAACAGGGCCCTAACCTGTTTAAAACTTCTTTGATACAACAGTACCAAATAATGATGGCCAGCCTTATCCAGGAAAACTGTTTTTAAACCAAAGTTCACTATGAATTATATGGCAAGACATTCCTATCTCTCCAAAGGGACAATTCATCAGAATTGACCTACCTATACTAAGAGAAAACACATTCACTGAAGAGAATGTCATACAGAAGCACAACCATATGTAACATGTTGGCAATACAGAGAAAGAAAGCGAGAGACAGAGAGAGAGATTATGGCCGTGTCCAGACCCATTGCAAGTCTATCTGCAATGTCACACATCACACATGTAGCTCTTCTTCCCTGTGCTGCTACCTTGCAACCCAGGAGGTTTTTTTAACCCTAGGAGATCCCAGGGCCCCAGGTAAGGCTGCTGGGGTCAACAGAGTTGCTGGCCCCAGCCTCCTCTACCTCACCCAGGGTAACCTGCCACATGCCAGAAAGCATGTGTCATGGGCATTCCCTGGGGACAAGTAGCAGCAGCACAAGTCTAAACCCATTCCCACTGAACTCAATAGAAACTTTGCCAGTGAGAGAAACTAAACTCCTAAAAAAAGTCTATTCTAATTTTGTGTATAATGCTTCTTTCCTACAACTGAGATTTCTGATATTAGCCAAGGTAGGGTAGTTATTTGCTGTGGGTTTACTTTATCACACCCAAAAATGTGCTTTTGTATTAATCTGGCTCTAATATTATTATTATCTAGTATTTATATTCCAGTGGCTTTTATAAGACAGCCAGGTTGAGCCTCCATTGTTCTAGGTGCTAAGGAAAGATAATAAATGAGAGTTCCTCTTTCAAAGAATGTATAATATAGATATAAGCAACTGGGTTGAGGTGGATGGAAGCAACAAAAATAACTGCACAGAAACTGTGTTGAGCTAAGCATAGCAATAATAACACAGGAAGTACACACAGAGTCTAGTTCAAAGCAAGTTTTTCTGTGTCTCTTCACCCAAGATAAAAAAAACAGAGATGAGTATATTTAGTTAGACTGTATACTCCTATATTTAGGAAACTGGATACACACCTTGCTGGGGTTATTTGACCCCAGCAGTATTTCTTGCCCAGAGCAGGGGGGCTTGGACACGATGATCTCATGAGGTCCCTTCCAGCCCTAAATTTCTGTGAATCTGTGCATCTGAGTTACTGTGTTGGTGGACTACAATGTGGGGATTTGAGGGTGGTGGCACAGAGTACAGGACCTCCTAAGGTGCCTTCCAGTGCTGTTTTGATGATGCTCTATGGACCAACACAGTCTAGAGCTCCCACTGAGCATCTAATGCAGGGACGGGCAATTATTTTGGGCAGAGGGCCACTTACTGAGTTTTGGCAAGCCATCAAGGGCTACATGACAGGCAACCAGAGGCAGATAAATATTTTCTAAATTTTTTAGGGGCCCCGCGGGCTGCATAGAATGGCCTGGAGGGCCACATCCGGCCCACAGGCCGCATTTTGCCCGCCCCTGACCTAATGGATAAAGATCAAGCAGCAAAAGGCAGTCATAGAGTACCTACCTACCTGCTATATTAAGGGTAAAGGTATGACATGCTGGTTTATATAGTGCTTAACATAAGCCACCAAACACTGTCACATAATAATGATCGTTTATTGACAATCAGGGCTGGATGGAAGCTAAGGTGAAAAGATCTGTAACTTGTGTACTCCCCGTAATTGCTGGCTAGTGAAAACCATTTTGGAGTCACATTTAAAGGTTTGCTAGTGGGCCTTTATGTCCTTTATTTTTCTCTTCAAGCTCCCTTGATACAGTATGGGTGGGCACAGAGTAGAGCAGCTCATCTGCTGGTTGCAAAGATGCTGCTTCTGTAGAAATGTGACTTTTGTTTGTAGCATGTATCTTTTGGTCTTCTCTGTGTGAGCAAATGTTGAAAGCAAATTGATTTGGCCACAGGGGAGGGAAAGCTCTACATAATGTTTGTTGTCCCCATGGTGGTTAGTCTAAATGCCTATCTGTTCCATGTCATTGCAATGGCAGGCAGGTGCTACTCTGCAGCTTTGAGTATAGGCAATAAGGGTCAAATGAAGTTAGAGAAGGAGGGCATAGATTTTTCTGACCACACTTCTTTCCTCTTCCAACCCTGGTAACTGAACTAGATCTTGATGCAATTTAAAGCAGCCAATAAAGCAGATGAACTGCTCTATTCTGTGCCCACCCATACTGTATTAACCAGCACTGCTCCATTAACCAGCACTGCTGGAGTACATTCAGACTTTGACATGTCTAGTCCCTCCTTCTTGTGTCATCAAGGGGGAAGAAGCATGTGGCATAAGTTTGGCTATAGCAGCCCTCCACATGCTGAAGTTTCATTTGTGACAGGGATCTTCCATTGCTACCTTAAGACATCTGTAATTCCCTTTTGTACTACTGCAGGAACAAAAAGGAAACTTGTAGGGTGTCGAGGCTCTGGCTACATAAATACATTTCTCAAGAGAAGGCCAAAGACTTTTGATCAAACATCTTTAGATAGTCTACTATGATTACAGTGCACTGATTTGTATACCAACAGTGGTCTAGAGTGTGCAGTCTTCATTCACACTTACACTAACACCTTGCCCTCACATCTTACATAATCCCACTGACATCAGGAAGAATACTCTTGTGAATAAAGGAAGCAGGAAAGAGCTCAGTATAGAAGTCTGGAAGTCACCTGGGACTTGTTAGTTATTCTGAAAATGTTTTCATGTCCTTTGGACACATTTGATTTAATAAGTTGTAACACTTAAATACCCGTAATTTGAGATCCCACATTACTTGGGCAATACACAACACACCATGAAACATTTCTCTTTTTTAAAAATGTGAACTTTTAAGTCTTTTTTTTTCACCTGGTAAAATAAGTTCAAGGTCATATGCTTCTACTACTGAAGCTGAACAGCTCAGTAACATGAAAGGTGGTTTAGGGAGCTGCACTAAGGGTGACCATCATAGAGGACAGTCCAGTTGTCTTCTCTCCTCTGTTGATACAAAACCCGATGCCTTTATGTCCTTTATTTTTCTCTTCAAGCTCCCTTGATATGGTATGGGTGGGCACAGAATAGAGCAGCTCATCTGCTTTATTGGCTGCTTTAAATTGCATTAAGATCTAGTTCAGTCACCAAGGTTGGAAGAGGAAAGTAAGGTGGTCAGAAAAATCTATGCCCTCCTTCCTCCTTCAAGAGAAAAATAGAGGACATAAAGGCATTAGGTTTCATATCAATAGAGGATAGAGTAGCAGAAAACCAGAATGTCCTCTATGATGGCCACCCTAGTGGCACTCTTTACCCTCCAACAGGTGTCAGTGATGTCATTAGCTCCTGCAGGAGAAACATCTGACCTCAAAATCAGGTCTTCACTTGGAATCAAAGGGCAAACTAGGTTTCAAAAGCTTAGTTTGACAAGGCATTTATTTTTAACTGTATAAGCCTACATAAGGTATTTAACTAATGGTTTTGGCTTACAAAAGGTGTTTTGTATAATATACCTTTATTATATATGTACATATAGTCTGTATGTGTGTGTGTGTGTATGGATACAAACACACATGCATACTATATGGATGTACACACACACACACACTTTTTATATTAATATAGTATATTGTTATAGATATGTATCATAGTTTAGTTCAGCTAATAGTCTTGATCTTACTCCAAGAGGACTTTCAATGTGTTGTACTAGCATTCATCTTCTGTCAGTGGCAAACTGAATGATCTGGATTTCGATGGGAGGGGATGTTTTGAAGACCTGTAAGTCTGTATCATTTATTATTGTTCTGCAAATTTGGAGGACCTAATGGGGAGGAGGTTTCTAAAAACATAGATAATACAGCACCTTTATCCTCCCTCATTTATTGTTCAGAAATGCCTGAGATGTTCTGATGCTGCAGTGAAGGCACTCCTGTACGAACTTAGATACACAAATGAGGGGCTGAGGAACCTGAAAGCCAGGGTTTTCCTGGAGACATTAGGTAGGAAGACAACTAGAGACATGTCTACACTACAGTGACAGTGTGTCTTGGCTGGGATGGTGGAAAGGTCCTGAGCACACATTATGCATGCACTTCCACCAACATACTTCAAGCTTAAAAATGCTACCTCCCAGTTATTTGCCAGGCAGTCTGTGGGTTAGCTCTTAGGAAACCAGACAGGTTTGAAAACATGCATTGCAGGCAGAGGTCCATCAGCAAATCTCCTGGCTTTTATTAGAATTTGGTTGTAATTGCTGTGGTCACTTGGAATGCTTTGATTTCCATGAGCTGGCTTTTTTTAGATGATTGCAAAATGTTTGGCTTTTTCCATTGTTCAGTGTGTAACCTCATGCAATATTTACAACACATTCATTTGAATGCTGAATTTCATGTTTCCTCATGGCTATTTCTACACTGCTTCTCTCTATGGCAATGTAGAGCTTTCCTAATAGTAGGGAACTTACTTTCACAGCATTTTCACATGTTAAGTGTGTAGGGGGGATTCTCATGACCATTTTAATATAGGGACCTGGGGTGCAAAGAGCACGAAATGCCTAGGACCTGATTTTTTCAGAGTGCTGAAATTTCTATAGCACCTTATAGTTCCAAAGTGCTGCTTCTATTGACTTCACTTGCAGCTGTGAGTACTCAGCCCTTCAACACATCAGACCCCAGGTGCCTCATAAGAGGAAGTAGAAAATGAGGAACTCACAATTTGCAGCCACCTGTGGAAGAATCTGGTGACCTGAGATCATTGTGATACCTTATTTTGAAGCACCTGGCACCAAATTAACCTCCTAAGTGAGGGGCCAATGGGAGAGCCAAGCCCCCTCAGACCACAGTCTGAAACAACCAGCATGTTCTAGCTAATAGGAAAATTCAAAGGATAGAGCTGAGTCTTAAATCCCATGCTCCCCTCCTCCTACCCTGGTATTCTACTCTGGCCTACAGGGAGGAGTCTCTACAGACCGGAACCTGCCCCTGAAGTAGCGAGGTGCCTAAATTGACCGTTTTGTACACATTTTTTGTTGTTATTGTGTTGGTTTTTGGAGTTGGCTTTCTCCAGCAGCATGCATGATCTGTGTGGCATGATCTGTGTGGCAGAAGCAGCAACAGAATTTTTCAACAACAAGGTTTAAAATGTGGTATTCTGGCATGGGCAAAGAAACGCATGTTCCCTGGACCTTGTTTTGAGAAATGCTAGAAATATTTTTGCTGAACTTTTCTAAAAATATTTGTTATGAGGCAAACAGTAAGCAGGGGAAAAAAGGAATTTGAAAGAGCTCTAAGCAACTGACTTCTGGGTCACATAATAGAAACAGTTTGACAACTTGGATGATATGTACTACTGTGGGCACTGCTACATCACTCATCATCACTGCTTTGGTGATATCTCCCCATCTTGAATGGGTACCAGCAGGTTTCTGCATAACTGCTGGTGATAATTGGTGCTAGTTCAGTTGAACACGTTGTGTGTTGATGGGGAGAACAAGGATTTACCTGGTAGCCATGTTTGTCTGAGACAAAAAGACATACAAAAAACTAGAACTCTTGGTTCTAAAATGATACCTTTTATTAGACCAGCTGGAAAATCACAAGAAAGTGTCCTTTTCTGCAAGCTTTTGGGATCAAAGTCCCTTCATCAGGCTCTGGGAAAAGTATAGATGGTACAAGATGGTAAAAAGTCCCCATAGGTAGGAAATTAACTTCATTTTTGCATAGAGGGAGCTGAAGATGGAAGTCTGTCCCTCTTATGGACCCAGAGGGACAGCCTTCCATCTTCAGCTCCCTCTGTGCAAAAATGAAGTTTAGTTCCTACCTATGGGGACTTTTTACCATCTTGTACCATCTATACTTTTCCCAGAGCCTGATGAAGGGACTCTGATCCTGAAGCCTTGCAGAAAAGGACAATTTTCTTGCCATTTTCCAATTGGTCTAATAAAAGGTATCATTTTGGAACAAAGAGTTCTAGTTTTTTGTATGTGGAGAACAAGCACACATACAGGAGCATTTCGATCAGTTGGTTCTGAAACACTGGCTTTTCAATAATGTTGCTTTAATCACTGTCTCTGGGAAATTGTTCCTCAACCTTATAATAGTAGTTATTTAACCATTTCTGTAATGTTTAACTGAAATAAATCCTTGCTCAATTCTATCCTTAAAATGCCATGCTCTAGAATATCCCCTTACTCGATTAGTTACTCTCTATGTAATATATATAACCTATTGTGTATAAAAACTTGCTAGAAATAATGCAACCCTTCCCATCTTAAAAAATGGGTTCAGCTTACAGGCAGCTCCCTAGGGAACTGGTCTTTTTTTGATTGGAGCTGAGACTTCCACAAATAGATTTTACTCTATGTACCCATGGAAACTGCAAAAAGGAGCGGGGGAAAGTCTTTACAATTAATTTATCACTCAGAAACATAGTTTAAAAAGATAATATCCCAAGATGTATCCAAGTTCAGAGAAGCATTGAGACCACTTGCTAGCAGTTTTAGAACGTGCCACTTTCTAGAAAGGACAGCAACCACAACCGAGACCAGATCACAGGGCCAAGAGGTCCTTTTTTCTTGTCCTTTTGAATGTATCCTTTTCTTGTGTTCGTATTAGTTGGAATGAGCATGTGTTCTGGAAGGGTCTGGTAAAGGACTGTGTGAAGAAAGGAAATCAAAAGGTATAATGGAAGGCATGCCTCCCCAAAAAGGGAGAATCAAAGTTGTGGTGTGTGGTCTTCAATGTACCATGAGTTTTGATAATGGAAAAGTATGTGTTTTGGCGTTAACGGTTTTGCATCAACTTTGTTGTAACTGTAGTCACCTTAATTGCTTTACAAGGAATATCTCTTATATGTGTATTCATTTTCTAGGTATGGCATTTTAATGCTTAATTCCAAGTTTGTTTCTAGTGTATGAACCTGTGGAGCTATAAATAACTAGAGTGCGTCAGCAGCTAACAGTTAACTCTTCTCTACTGTAGGAAAGCATCTGACAGGAAAATATAGCTTCTCATGAAAAAAGCTGTATGAACACCTAGCTCTGAGACAGTAGGCTTATGTACTCTTCACTGTCTATCAATCAAATTTGTGTGTACAGACTGTGAACTTAAGTTATAATATGAATACTAGTTAAATTCAATATCTAAAAAAATGACCTATTATATCAGATCTACTCAGAATCCACCTTTTTTCCAGGTTTTGTTTAGGTGGTCGGTGCTTTTAAAATACACTGATCAACACTGAAAAATGGGGCAGTCAAGGGAAGAGTTCAGTCAGAGCCACAATTGAAAAGCTTCCTAATTAAAAAATAGACGAAAAACATTTCAAAACACAAACAATTCAATGGCATAAAAATTAATCCTGTGTAAAATGTTACATTGATTAGCATTACATTTAGAAAAAATACCTGGATTACTCATTTTAAACCCGTTTTTAGAATGCAACCCTAGGCATGGAATCACTGTCAGATTTCCTCCATGTGTACAGTGAGGAAGTGCTTTTTTTGGAACCTGAAAGTCAAGTTGTTATTTACTGCCAACTTCAGGAAAAAAAATAAAATAATAGCAACTGTGTGTAAATTGAACACATGATTTAAGTACCATTGAGATACAAAACTGGAACTTTACAGTGACATTTGTATTAAATCACTTCTTAGAATAGAAGCTTTCTTTTAAATCTGTATTTAAAGAGAATTAAATGCTTTTAGATAACGGCAGAAAGCAGGAAACAAAAAGCATGGCAACCAACTGAACCCATCAATCTACCAGTTATCAGAACTGCAGTTGTCAGCAATGTGGCCTCTCCTGCACTTCTGTTCATTTTTAAACCAAGTGACTACTGTATAATTATCAAGAGAATAAATGTGGAACACCACTGTTATTTCAGTGGACTTTAAAATGCCCTTTTGCTTAGTCCAGTGACTTAGATTGTCATGAACCATGGGAGTCCTGTTCCCCACATCCAGTTGCCAGAGTTGAATAGAGAGAGCCAGGGATGGTTTATTTCATCATGCTAACAGTAGAATATAAGAGATATTATGAAAACCCTTCCCCCACTCCAGTCCCCCCCTCCAGCCATAACCCACCCAAAACACAGAGGTCTCTAGTGGGTAGACCACATTTACCACAGTCAGTTCCCCAAATAGATCTGATTTTCATTTTTGTCGCTGTGTTTAAACTGCTCTTTTCTCCAGTGCAGGGTTCTTTCTCTGCCCTCTTCACACCATCCAAAGTCATTGATCCCAATTAAGAATAAATGACAAAATTATTAAAAAACTACTGGGCTAATTCGTGTGCTTACAGTTACCAATGAGATGAAAAATGCACAGTTAATTGCAGGCACAGGAGACACCATTTGAAAATGGTCCTACAAAAGGAAGGTACAAAACGCCTGTGTGATTTTGGGCCAATCTCTTAGGCTATGCATAGGCTACAATCAAGAAATGTCCGTGTGTAATCAAAGGCAAACTAACTTTAATCTACCTAGCACCGGCGGGCTTCAGTCCAGACAGTACAAGGCTGGTTGGGATCCTGGATACTAACTCGGATGCTGTAGTCTGTCCTGCTGGTACCTGAGATAACTAGATTAATGATAATTTAGTATGCTTCTATGCACAGTATAATCATGCGTCAGAATGCTGTAGACGTATCCTTAATCTCTCGATTCCCTTTCTGTAAGGCAATAATGGTAGCATTTCCCTCTCAAACAGGGAAGGGAAGGGTCCTCACAACAGATTGTTGTGAGGTCCATAATATGGTAATGGTATAGTAATATATATATGTAGGATAGATGTGCCTTGGGAACCCACTGAAAATTGCTCTAAGTCACTTAGATGTTTTTGCAGATTTTACTTGGCCCCTATTTTTTGTATATTGTTTAATATTTAACACCCAAAAGGCAGTTTTTCCAAAACAGCAGTTACAGACAGATAGCTGATGTCTAAATATTAAAATATTATGAGCAAAGGTCACTTTCAACATTTAGCCTGTGGTAACTAGAACATATTCAGGAATCATTAAAGAGAATTAAATTTTACATTTCTCTTGATGATCTGCTAGGCCTACAAGTAACATTTTAAACTCTTTCACAATAGTAGTTTCTCTTATCATCTCTTCTGAAGGACAGCAAATGAAGCATGCAGGTGAGTACTATACCCTGAGAAGCCATGTGCTGGTGTCAAACTGTCTGGATTACATGTTTATACCATAAGGCTGCCAGTAAAGCTCTTAGTAAAATCCTATCTTTTTATGATATGCATAATATGTGCTGATTTTATGGAGAGGGGAGGGGAGGTTTGTGTCTTCTGTAAGCCTCACTGCACATCTCAGTCTTAGGATGAGTATAAATCAGGACTCTGCAATTATTCAAGGTATCTGTCTGGTTCAGTTAAAAAACTCAGCACAATATTCTTCATTTATTACTTACCAAAGCTAAACATTGATTCTCCATCTATTTTTAAAATATTAGTTGATGTTCATTACAACTATTACTGTTCTTCTTACCAAAAGAAAAATACACACCCTTTACCTCTTCATTCTGAGAAGTGATTTATGCCGAATTCACATCTTTAACTCTAATGAGTTCTCTTGTCTGCTGCTCTACCTCCTGCAGTAATTGTGAGTGATAGCAAAGTTACGCCTTATAATAATTATTTTATTTCTAAAGTCCATAGTCATCAGGCGTACATAGCTCATCACTATGCAATGAACTTTGGGCCTTTTTCTGTGAATAACAAACATGGCAAAATGAACCAATCTTTACACTGCCTACTGAGAAACTACTTTAAAAAATAAGCAAGAAAAATAAGGGAAAAGTTGTCTTTCTTACCTGTTCCAGGCTGAACTGTGGAGCATGAAATGCCTTTAGATAATAGAGAGGGTTTGAGGTTCCACTCGCTCAGTGTTCTCAGGAAGTGACCATGTATTTATGCAACCGTTAACTGTTTCCTCACTCAAGCAGGGGAATTAAGCATCTCTCTTTCAATTTTTAAAAAAATA